GCCATACAGTATAACACACAAGCTTGAGTGCTTCTAGCAAACCATTACAACTGAAGCGTAGGGCTCTAGACATCAACTGCACACACTATATCAGGAAGAGGTTCACCGTGAAGATACAGAGAGCTCTTTTGAAGGATTTAACCCATTCTGCCAAAGTATGACAGAGTAATATCACAGCCAGAACAAGCCTAAAGGCAGAGTCCGCCAGTGAAAACTGGGTGTCCAGAAGGGATTCTAACTGCTTGTCAGTAAAATGCTTGGCCTAGAGACTTCCTTGTTGAATTCAGATGTCAATGCCCCCCAGAAGTCCTTGGAATCATTGGGAAAGAGTGAAATGGGGTCATCTCCCATAGTGGGATCATCCCCTCTATGTGTATATACAGCACATTGCGAACACATGGTGGTGATGCAGTTAGCTCAGAGTACAAAGCATGACCTCAGATACTCATAAACCCATGCAGTTATTAGCTAATGAGGCCAAAAATAAAAGTGTGTATAACGAGCGCTCCGAATATTTAAATGAATAAAATTATAAATATTTGGGTATCCAGCAGCAATTGCACCGACATAGGATATCCTAAAAACCCAGTAAAAAAAAATATAGATAGGTGCAGCGCTAAAAATGAATCCAACAAATAAATAAAATTACTCCACATATAGATGTATACGGTGCTATTGCACCAATCAAAGATATAAATACACAGTCTAATTAAGCGTGAAAAAGCATGCATACTTGACTTGGGAAGGTCAGCAATAACAGGTGGTGAAATCCAACTTCATCACTAATAGTATTAGTCCTTGTGATGTGACTCTGTGCACCAATCTTATAAAATGCGCACTCACCAGATGCACATGGAATTTTTGCATTAAATATTAAATCACTGCGGGATCCCCCTTTAAATGGATCAGCCAGCCAGGAGTAAGGATCCTTCATCCGGACACCAGCCTCTTGTGCAGCTACGCTTCCTCTGGGGGTCTCCACGAGCAGTTGGCTCAGAGCCAAGCCATATATGAAAAAAGGCTTATAGTGTAGTATTTAAAAGGTTCAAATTTATTGTGGATTAATCTCCATATAAAAGCAGGTAAAAGTATCCAAAAATATCCTCAAACAGTGACGAAAGAAAGTGCACATAAATATATATATATATATAAATTAATCTATCTACAGGTGGCTGTATAAGCCACTTTCCAAAATGGCCACCGGACCTGCATTCGGCTCTGGCGGCGTGATGTCACGACATTAGGGCTCCTCCTTAACGTGTTTCGTGCAATAGCACGTTATCAAAAGGGGTGTGCCTCTCGTCGAACGTCTCTATACAGTCTATTTATAGGGTAAAGACGTACGTACATGTGCAGTGCAGGACGCCCTTTTCTCTGAGTACAACAGGGCCACGTAGGTTAAGCCGCATGCGTGGTCTTCACTGCGGCCACGATTCGGGCAACAGCTGATCTTTAATCAGCTAATGCCGTACAGCTGAGAAAAGAGTGCTAGCTTAATGCCAATATGTCATGCACCCATCCAATGTGCCCCATTACTAATTACTACTGGATGGGTGCATGACATATTGGCATTAAGCTAGCACTCTTTTCCCAGCTGTACGGCATTAGCTGATTAAAGATCAGCTGTTGCCCGGATTGTGGCCGCAGTGAAGTCGGCGCACGCGGCTTAGCCTACGTGTCCTTGTTGTACTCCAAGAAAACGGCGCCCGCGCACTGCGCATGCGTGGACGTCTTTACCCTATAAATAGACTGTATTGAGATGTCCGACGATACGCACACCCCTATTGCTATTGCCCAAAATGCGTTGAGGAGCCCTAACGTCGTGACGTCATGCCACCGGAGCCGAATGGAGGTCCGGTGGCCATTTTGGAAAGTGGCATATACAGCCACCTGAAGATTAATATATATATATATATATATATATATGCATTTATGTGCACTTTATTTCCCTTACTGTTTGAGGATATTTTTGGATACTGCTCGTGGAGACCCCCAGAGGAAGCGTAGCTGCACAAGAGGCTGGTGTCCGGATGAAGGATCCTTACTCCTGGCTGGCTGATCCATTTAAAGGGGGATCCCGCAGTGATTTAATGTTTAACGCACAAAGTCCATGTGCATCTGGTGAGTGCGCATTTTATAAGATTGGTGCACGGAGTCACATCACAAGGACTAATACTATTAGTGATGAAGTTGGATTTGCTGACCTTTCCGAGTCAAGCCTGCATGCTTTTTCACACTTAATTAGACTGTGTATTTAGATCTTAGATTGGTGCAATAGCACGTATACATCTATATTTGGAGTAATTTTATTTATTTGTTGCATTAATTTTTAGCGCTGCACCTATCTATTTATATTAGCTAATGAGGGTCTGAGACCAGCGGTGACCAAGGTCACTGTAGATGGGCAATATTAATGGACTGGAGTTCAATTTTCCACATGGCTTTTTTGAAAAGCAGACGAAGCAGAAGGGCGATGCTTCCTCAACTCTGAAAGTTGGGAAAGAAAGCACACGCAATACTCCACTAAGTGGTTAACGTTACCACTCAGTCACTCAGCATTAACCCCATCAGTGGTAAAATCAGTGGAAAGTGGGATATCAAAAGCCACTCAGCAGTGCAAATAGCGAGGTAGATCCCAGTACTTCAGCCTGATTGGCCTACTCACAGAGTGAGTCTTCAGAGCAGGGGCGGACTGACCATTTGGGAACTTGGGCACTGCCCGAGGGTCCGGGGTCAGTAGGGGGACCCATGAGATGCCCCTGGTACCTTTCATAGGCTTTTTTGGGTGTGGTTTGAGTGTGGGCGAGGATACAGGGGCCCCATGATCCCCTATTGCCCGGGGGCCCCAAGAGTTGCCAGTCCGCCCCTGCTTCAGAGACAGTTCAAGAGCAGAGGAAATGCTAACGCTGAACCTAAAAATGTGCTGTTAACTTGTTACCATAACAAAGTCTGGAAAGCACTCGATTAAAAACTCTAAGGGTCATTTCCAGGCTAGCCCAAAAATGTCCAGTCCAGCGGGGTCTAGGTAAGAAACTCCAAAGTTAGGCTGAGGAAGACTAATGAGGACAGTTGCCATGTAGAGACCAGCCTGAACAGCAATGTAGCATGGAATCTGGACTGAACATCTGAAGAAAAATTGAAGAAAGAAAAACTAGGAAAAATGGTTAGACTTTTCCTAGCAGAGCTGAAGAAAAGACATCTATCCTCCTAGGACACTAACAAAAAACATACTGGGATGAGGAGGGGTTATTCTGATCTGGTTTTCAGATTATTTTGTTTGCCCATGTCCAGTCCTTCTGTAGGCAACAGTATACCTTCCTGTGTCCCTCAATGGATGAGAAAGAAAGCACTGTGAAGGAAATTTACTAAGAGCAGTCAGAATTTGTGGCAGCTGTGCATGCCAGCCAGTTTCTGTCTTCAGGTTGTTCCGTTAGGCTTCATGCACACTGGGCATTTTAATAACACTTGTAACGTTAGCTGTGTAAAGTCATGTTAAAAACTTGAATTTTTCCAGTGTTTTTGTATTAGTGTTTAGTGGCGTTTTGCAGCTTTTTTTTCATATTTTCGCATTTGCATCTTTTAGTTTTTTTTACCTCCCCAAAAAATATTTTTTTTTATAGTCAAAAAAAGTCCAAAAACACTGGTTTGCTGCGATTTACTGCATTTTGCCACGTTTTTACAGCTAAAAAACTCCTCTATAAACCCAGTAGCCCTGGGTTTTTTTTCCAGCCAGAAAAAGTCTCTGCCAAAAAACATTGATTACAGTCTATACATGCATGGACACATAGGATAACATGCTGGGGAGTTTACTGGCTGTAGAAAAAACCGTCAAAAGCCAAAACACAGCAGCTGTAAAAACGTCCAGTGTGCATGAGGACTTAAGCTTGGAAAATGAACGATAGAACATGACTGGTTACGATGCACAGCTGATTCAGATTCTGGCTGCTTCAGTTTTGATAAATTTGCCTTTATATATTTTCTTTTGGAACTCTTGAAGCTTAGCAGCCTGTCAACAACAGAATGTTCTTTTAAACTTTCTATTTTAAATGACCAACAAAAAAAAAAAAAAAAAAAAAAAAGGGAAGTTACAAGAAGTATAAGGCTACAAAAATGTTTCTGTGCATGTTCCAAGGTTTACCACTTAAATATGAATGAAAAGCAGTAGCCTGGTATTGTCCTCATGAATTGTAAATAATGCATTCTACCCAGCTACACAAACATTCCACAAATTAAAATAAGCTCTTTGTGGCATACCTAGAGAATAAAGTGCACTACTCTAACTGGTGTGGAAGTGTGATGTGAAAACATAAAACAAAAACCCAAGGAAACAATGGCTGGTTTGTTTTGCTTGGTGATAAGGTTGGACACAGCAGGTGATACATTCTGATTTAGGAAATTAAAATGAATGAAAATACAAACACCACCAAGGTCTTTTTCATTTTCTTTTCTGCAAATCAAAGCTGCATCTACCTCTCTCCAGCTGCAGCTACTCAACAAGGAATGCAATTACTGCTTTCTTCAAGGAAAACAGTTTTAGGTGGGGAGGAAAGGATTAGGAAAAGATAAAATAGACTTTCTCCACATGCAAGAAACCCCCCAAGAGTCTGCATTTACACAAACAGCACATGCAATGGATGGAGAGGAAGTGGAGCAGGGTTCTTAAAGGGTTAGTGCAGGCATTACACAATGGAAGGCTTTCTAGAAATCGACTATGTATTGCTTTTATATTAAAAGAAAACTAGGCGAAAATAAAAAGACATGCAGGGGGAGGTTAAAATATAAGAAAATTAGCTAAAAATCTAAGCACAGTATTGCCATAGCATTTGTTTGCAGAGTGTATAACATGTTACTTAATAATTATATAAAAAAAAAAAAAAAAAAAAGCTGTTAAAAAAGCTGTTCTTTTTTGGATCAAGCTATAGAAACAGTTATTATGAAAAATGAGACAACTGAACAGAAGACGATAAGCCATGCGGAGCTTTTGAATCACCGATACTCACACATAAAATGGGGCCTGATCATCAGCAGGTGCGGGAGAAGATCTAGAATGGGAAGCATATGATGCAGCATCTTTTTACAATAGTGTTAACAAATGCCAAAGCCTCGCACTGCATGTTTGAAGCATACATATGTAGTTAAAAGTATGTGCAATTTTATTTTGTCTCCTTTTTCCTCTAAAAATCCCATCTCCCTTTCATCAACACCTCCCCCAGATAGCATCTGCTCTTTCTGTGTGTCTATAACCGTGATTATGAACAAGGATGGGGAAATGTTAACGCCATCCGTCTTTCTCTCCCTTGATCAGGAATTTATTCTTTAGGTGAGGGCAGGTGAATTTCATTTCAAACTGGTAATTATCTGACAGATGTTGGAAGCAGCTGCTGCAGTAGGCAAAGCCCTGGCTCTTATTCCAGCACAGATAGCAGAAGCTTCTGGCAAGGTGGATAGTGAAGTGGGACGACATGCATTCTGTGAGTGGCCGCACAGCTGGTTCTCAGTGCAAAACAACGCAAACCTGCAACCCTGGCCAGCTGTTTTAAAGCTTGTGATTCTCAAATTGCTCTATCCTTTCAATGAAAAAGAAAAACCTGTGGTTTAACAAAAATGCCAATATGTTCATCTTGGAAGTTTCCCCATTTTCATTCACACAAGGTTGCTGTAAGGTCTGCGGAGTGTTGCAGTACAGTTTTGTTGAATATTTTCTGTTTTTTCTAGGTAGCTTGAATGAGAAAATAGGTCTGAACCAAGCAATATGCTGGAGAATATTTGATGGAAGACACACACAAAAAATAATCAAAAAGGCAAATGTGCTCAAAAGAATTGTATGCTGTGCAAGAAGGAAACAGGTAGTTTTTAAAAGTTGAAATGAATTACTAAATTTAAAACTGGAAAAACAATCAATAGTTACTGAACACAGGGAATATATATATACTTCAGGTTACTAAAAACATTTCTGGCACATTGGAAACACTTTATTTCTTGTAACGATTTGGACATTAATAAGGATCAAAGAGATAAGGAGACCAGTAACCATGAACAAGTACAAATCATTCACAAACCACTTGTGGCTAAATTCTCACTGACTGCTAAAGAGTATAGCATAGTTCATTTACCAGGGAGTTCATGCTGTCATTTTTCTTTTTTTTTACCTTTTTAAATATGAAAAAGGTAAGCACACTTTTGCACTAATCCCCCTCCACATAAATATACACAAACACCTCTTGCCCCTCTCCTCATAACTGCTTAGCAATGGAGATTATTGGTCAAGCCAGGGGAGAGGAGAAACAGTTTTACCCAGTCCCCTGCTCCTCCATGATCCAGAGGTGCACTGTCCCTCAGAGTGCTTGCATCCACAGCAGGACTATGGACCCTGCTCTGGTCATGATGACATCAGAACCCTAGATCGGTCAAGTGTTTGGGGGCAGACGCTGCAGACCGCTCTAGTGAGTTTATGTTATCTTTATTTTCAAAGAATACAAATTGAGCAAGCAGCCAGGTGATATTCTTTATGTGGACTGTTTGTTAGGACTGGAACTGTTGCTTTTTTGACCATGAATTTGTAGCTGGTTTCCCACGTTTTATGACTTCTTCGTCTTCTTTTGCCCAAGATGTAATTTTTGTTTGGGCATCATTCATCTCACATTTCTACTTCCTAGACTAAGATGCTGGCCCATGCATGACAAAATTATGCAAGTCTTGAGGTCTGTCCGGTAGCCTTTGTATTTTTATTTGTATACAGTCTCCCTGTTGCTATCTGTGAATCTGACCAAACAAAGTAATTACACTCACAAAGTTTAGTGCCCAGCTGGTTCTCATTTTGTGGCATAACAATGTAAAAAACTATCACTGTCTCACACAGATAAAAATGTTGTTGTTATAGTCTAAGGCAGTGTTTCTCAACCTCTTTTCATTAAAGGCACCCTTTAAAATTCTACACATTCTCATGGCGCTCCACTCTAAAATGTAAAAAACTAAACTAATAGTTTTACATAATGCAGCAACATACACACATGTAGAACACTCAACGTTACAGGGGATGTATTCTTACAACGCAAATACACCGCTGATTAATAAAAAGTGACATCATCTTATAGTGACATATCAAAGCACATAACTAGATGAAAATATTATTATTATTATTATACAGTATTTATAAAGCGACAAACAGTTCGCTCAGCGCTGTACATTACAACGGGAGACAGAACATGCGACAGTACAATAACAATACAATGCGATACACGAGGAGTTCGAGGGCCCTGCTCCTTGGAGCTTACAATCTAAAATATATAAAAGTCCTTAAAGTATTCAAGCAGGCTGCGTCAATTTTCCCAAAATTGGAAGATATCAACAATTCTCATGGAAACTTGCATCAGTGGTAATAAGTGCTCGTGACTTCCGTGATATGGAAAAAAGCGGTGTGCTTGCACTCAGCAGACTTATGATAATATTACGCATGTAATATAAAGAGCACTGGTAGTCATCTAGGACCCGGTAGGTTAAAGGCAATCCAATGGTACTTGGTATAGCCTGGGAAAGACCTCCAGACTTCTCGGTGGATCTGCCACTCGGCGGGGGGAGAGCAGGGCCCCAATCAGGGTGTGGAGAAGGGAAGGAGGAAGGATCGTGTGTGGGGACACCGCACAAACTGGACCGGAGACAGAGGTGGTTTTCCTGCTGAACTCATCGGTTGCCGGGTATTAACATCAACAAGCATTCCCCATCCATTAAGAGGGTCCACCGAGAAGTCTGGAGGTCTTTCCCAGGTTATATCAAGTACCATTGGAGTGCCTTTAACCTACCGGGTCCCAGATGACTACCAGTGCCCTTTATATTACATGCGTAATACTATCATATGTCTGCTGAGTGCAAGCACACCCCTTTTTTCCATATCACGGAAGTCACGAGCACTTATTACCACTGATGCAAGTTTCCATGAGAATTGTTGATATCTTCCAATTTTGGGAAAATTTACGCACCTTGCTTGAATACTTTAAGGACTTTTATATATTTTCATCTAGTTATGTGCTTTTATATGTCACTATGACATGATGTCACTTTTTATTAATCATTGTGTTTATTAGGACACCACTTTTGTGTTCACCTTTTAGTACATAATATTGCGCATTATATGTCACTATCTCACTTTATTATTCTTTAAGCGCGCTGCATCTTAATATTATTTATGTTATAGGATTTTAGGGGTTAATCCTATGCAAGTTGCTTTTTATACCACATCCTATAAGCGCTCGCTTTACCATTTCATTTTAAATACACCTTTGCGCCCTGGCACTGACTATTATTACATTGTTTCTCTGTTCACTCACCCCAGTGCTGATGGAGAGGGGTATTAGGGGAGAGGCAAAGAAAGGATTCTGTGCAGGTGCCCAACATCTTCATTATAAGCAAATGAAGCCATTGGTTGTAAGGACACTGGTGGCTGGAAGGTGGTAAGAGTGCACAATGAAAACCTTTGGCTTTGTGGAAGTAAAAGGCAGGCTTGATCCACTCTCTGGCTTGTATACAGTTTTTGGGCAATCTTTTGGCAATTTGCCGAGGCACCCCTCAAGAAACTTGAAGGCAACCCAGAGTGCCTGGGCACCCTTGTTGAAAAAGGCTGGTCTAAGGAAATGCTTCCTTCCATAGGCTGAATGATGAAAATTATATTGCTGTTGTATATTGCAACATATCATCAATGCATTATTGCAGACTTATAAAGTTATTGAAAAAGGCCACTTTACGTTTGGCACACCATCTGGAAAGCATCTTGATGTTCAGACCCAATGCATGTGTATCATATCAGTATGTCAGAAATTATTCAGCTTATAAACGCTTCAGTCCTGCTCAAGCAGAGGCATTGGGAATGGCAGAATGTATGAATTTGATGTGGGGGAGATTTGGGATTTTAGTGCAAATGTAAAGTTATCAGTTAAATACAGGATTTTTGACTTACCATTAAATTCTTTTGAAGGTAATTAAGAGACACAGGTTAACGTTTTTCTGAGACATAGGTTTTGCTACTGCCTTAAGAGATTGGATACTGGAAAACAAAACTGTAAGACAGCCTAGTATAAACTTTACCACTCCTAGGAGGTTCACGTCTGGCTTTTTTCACTGACAACAGAGGTCTTGAAACACCTCCAGGTGGGGGGACCACTTTCCTGAGTTCAGCTACACTATACTGCCAAAAGTATTGGGGCACCCCTCCAAATCATTGGATTCAGGTGTTCCAATCACCTCCATGGGCACAGGTGTATAACAGCACCTAGGCATGCAGACTGCTTCTACAAACATTTGCGAAAGAATGGGTCGCTCTCAGGAGCACAGTAAATTCAAGCGTGGTAGCGTTGCCACCTGTGCAATAAGTCCATCTATGAAATTTCCTTGATGCTAAATATTCCATGGTCAACTGTTAATGGTATTTTAACAAAGTGGAAGCAACTACGAACAAAAGCAACTCAGCCATGCAGTGGTAGGCCATGTAAAATGACAGAACGGGGTCAGAGCATGCTTAAGCACATAGTGCGCAGAAGTCTCCAACTGTCTGCAGCCAATAGCTAAAGACCTCCAAACTTCATGTGACCTTCAGATTAGCACAACAGTGCACAGAGCACTTCATGGAATGGGTTTCCATGGCCAAGCAGCTGCATCCAAGCCTTACATGACCAAGTGCAATGCAAAGTATTGGGTGCAGTGATGTAAAGCATGCTGCCACTGGACTCTAGAGCAGTGGAGATGTGTTCTCTGGAGTGACCAATCATGCTTCTTTGGCAATCCAATGGATGTGTCTGGGTTTGGAGGTTGCCAGGAGAAAGGTACTTGCCTGACTGCATTGTGCCAAGTGTAAAGTTTGGGGTGGAGGGGGGATTATGGTGTGGGGTTGTTTTTTAGGGGTTGGGCTTGGCCCCCTAGTTCCAGTGAAGGAAACTCTAAGGCGTCAGCATACCAAGACATTTTGCATGCTTTTCATGCTCCCAACTTTGTGGGAACAGTTTGGGGATGGCCCCTTCCCATTCCAACATGACTGTGCACCAGTGCACAAAGCAAGGTCCATAAAAGACATGGATGAGCGAATTTGGGGTGGAGGAACTTGACTGGCTTGTACAGAGTCTTGACCTCAACCCCATAGAACACCTTTGGGATGAATTAGAGTGGAGACTGCAAGCCAGGCCTTCTCGTCCAACATGAGGAAGAATGGTCAAACTTTCCCATAGACACATGCCTCAACTTTGTGGACAACCTTCCCAGAAGAGTTGAAGCTGTTGTAGCTGCAAAGGGTGGGCCAACTCAATATTGAACCCTACGGACTGAGACTGGGATGCTATTAAAGTTCATGCGCGTGTAAAGGCAGGCGTCAATACTTTTGGCAATATAGTGTATTGATAACAGAGGAAATCTGCCTGCCAATCTTCCACACCTGGAATGTGCATGTTGAACAAGACTGGGATGTGAAGTTTTACTAAAGCCAGACTCTGGTCAGCTTTTCTCTGTGCAGGGTTTGAACAGTGTTTTGGACATTGATTTATAGAGTCTTTTCCGATTGTTGGACCTGTGTCTTTTTTTCAACCTTATAAACTATGTAAATTTGCAAAGAACTTTCAGCCTTTTATCCACAGCCTTTTATCTTTAAACATCTTTTATCTTTAAACATCGGGATGTCCTACACAAAAACAGTTGAGTCTTGTTAATACAGGAGATGGCTGTATCTGCTACAGAGATGGCCCATTTTTTCAGGAAGCCATTAAAAAGATGAGCAAACACTTTGTCTGAATAAGGTCAATCACTATACAAAGCATGTTGCAGAAATGAGCATGACGGGAACATTTTAACACGCTGGGAACTCTTTAGATATAGCTAACACAGCCTGCATGTCCAAAGATGAGCGTACCATTTCCATAACGACCAAGGTGCTATCTTTAAGGTTAGGAGTTATGTCATCAGAATGAGCCTCCTCATGTACCAAGTCATCTAATAGGGATAGTCTACATTCCTAAAAAGTATCTACAGTCACTGTGGAGGTTGCGGAGCTAACTCGGCTCTAATTTTCCCCGTAAACTCACACATAGTTGCAAAGAGTGCCTCTCTGGAAAAGACAGAGGAGCATGTCAAACCTGAAGAAGTTACAGAGGACTCTGGGGAGTGTTGTGACTCAAGAGGGGGAAAGTGGTCCATGCTATCAGTGTCAGGTTCCTTAGGAGGTACACTGCAAGTCATTGCGGAGCTGTTAGTGACGTGTAGGCAGGCAAGGCCCGCAGGACCACTGCACTTGCACTTAAGATCTGCCATACTAAAGTATGGGATTTCCCACAATGGATACTCACAAACCACTGCTGGAGCACGGAAGGGTTAAATTCTCATTACTGTAAGGCAGTAGAAGTGAGAATCATAGCAGTGTTGTGGCTGAGGAGATGGCGGGAAGGCGGGTGCATGTGTGCCCAAGCAGTGGTTCATGCATTTGCAGTGTGGTGGCATGAAAGAGGCTTGCACATAAATCAGTAGAAACTATACTGAAAGTCAAATCCATACCCAAGATTTGGGTGTTAACCTCTGCAGGGAAAAACTGGAGCACAGTACCAAGCACACCAGGCTCTCACATCAAAAGGGCAAAGCACTTACTTTATTGCTGCAGTGGTCCAGAAGATGCCCAGTGGCCCTCATAAGTCAGACAAGCTGGCAAGGGCAGGAACCAGGGGAATAGGCCCCATTCAGACAGACTTTACCATCCCGGTGAGAATATTCCCTGGGGAGTCTTCAGGGACAGGGTTCCAGCAGACGGATATACCACAGCCCCGAATCTGTAAAGCACTAACTTACACTTTACATGAAATGTCTAGGAGAATGCATCAGCAGAGCCCAGTGACTGTAGGTCACACTACAGGATAGACTTGCTTGTTTCTCACAACTGGGTTTAGGTACAGCCTCTGTGGCTATGCCAAGGATAAACAGATCCAAAAGTTTGCAAACAAAAACCCTTTTGGCTCTGTAGCAACTGTATAGGTTTGACAGAGGGAAAAAGGGTCTTGAAAAAAGTATTAGGGAAAAAGGCAAGTATTCTCCTTGGACACTAGCAAATTGGAGTAGGCTTGGAGTCGCAGGAGTTATACGAGGCTTACAGCTTTGTTTGCCAGTGTCCAATCACCGAAAGGCAGCAGAATAACCCAGTGTCTCAGAATTACTTCACTCTCTGTTCCTTAATAAATGTTTAAGACGTTTTTTATTTTTATGCTTTTCCAATAGTACATTCAACAAAAACAACAAGCATTTCTATTCATTATAAACATTTTCAAGGAAGAATTAAAAGGGGAAGAAAAAAACAGTGGAATAGATATTTCACTTTTAAAGGTGGTAAATAAACAAAAAATTAAAAAAAGACAAGAAACAAAAATGAAAAAGATTAAGTACAGTATTTCAGAGAGAACACAACAAAACTGAATGTATTTAAAGGTATAAGGTGTTCACCTTCCCTAGTGAAGGTTTGATAATAAAAAGAGACATATGGTTGTGACATTTTCTTTCCTTTAGTTTTCAAAATCAGCTGCTATGTTGTGAAATCAGATCTTTATATTTTTGGCACACTAAGCACATTAAGTAAATACTCTTGATAATTATTAGCACCCTTACCTTAAATCTGGTCCGAGTAAAGAATGTCTCCGCAGCATGGCCCTTGCTTGGGCATTGGTTAGATTTGCTGTGGACTCATTATTGATAGCCAAAATACAGTCTCCCACATGGATACGACCATCACGACTTATGGAACCTCCATTTATAACACTGCGGACTATCATCCCTAAACCATCTTTATTGGCACTTACAGTCATGCCTATCCAAAAAAAAAAAAAAAAAAAAAAGAGTGAAATGTTTAACAGCTGAGATACTGGTACACAAATCTTTTCTGGACAACTACTATGCAGAGCAAAATAAAAATAGCATTAAATGACTTACAGGATATCAGAAGATATTGTAAGCTAAAATGTTAGTTATGTTGATGCCCTGCTGAGTGCTCTACATGTACAAAGTATTAGCCCCAAAACTGACTGAAAATAGTACAGAAGTACTGTTTTCCCTGGAAACATGCTGACATGTGGCATCTGTTACATCTTACTATGTTATGAATGAACTTTTATTAGAATGATAAGAAAAGGTAAAGTGTAGCTCCGGCATTGTAGGATGGATAAACAATTCCTTTCAGGTAAGCAATATACATTTTAAGGGTTTTATTAAATATTATTGCAGATTCTTACTTGCCCCAGCTGTAAGAATTTCTGCATCCTATCTCAAACTGATTCGCTGACTGCTAAACATGAGTTTGAACTTCACTATCATCACCCCCGACCAATCAGTAAGTCAGACCATGGCTGGACTAGTTCACCCACTATATACTGGTAAAATGATCGAAAAGATCTTTTTACTCTACTTAATGCAGAGTGGCAGTGGAAGTGCTTACAGCAGATATAACCCATTCAATGAAAGATCCAGAGGACCCTCTAGTCACCTGGCGAGATGCTACCGAGACCTTGACACAAGGGGTTATGGGACACAACCACCATTTCCTGTAAAAACTTTGGTCTAAATGACACGTGGCATGATGGTGGATGCTGGAGATTTAAGTCACCAACTGCCTTCTTATGTCTCTTGAAGTTTTGAGCAGTGGAGTCCCCCTGTTGGAACTTTGCCTTTGGTTTGCCAATTCAGTGGGTCCTATGGCTTTTCCTGCAGCATTATTTGTAACATATAAAGTTAAATTGACAGGAAGAGTGATAAAATTGTCAGCAGTTCTCCGATTCAAACATCCAACACAGCCCTTTGAAGTGAGGGGTGAAATTAAAAACCAATGAGGGAGAGTGGGGAACCTTGAATATTGATCACAGCAATAGACCCAGGAATACAAATGTATCACCAACAGAGTACTAAAACTACAACAAGCCCTACCTATCAAAAATGTTCTTCAAAATCTGTGACTCTGATAGGCTGAGTGTCTGACCAATGGGAAGCACTGGTGCTTTCCACTGGCCCCTACCCCACCACAGCAGACATTAGTAATGTAGGGTCCAAGTGGAAAGAACCCCACTAGGCAGCAGGAGATGCAGCATCCAACACTGCTGAAGGGTTGAATGCTACAAACTTTGCCAAAGAATACAGAGCTGAAAGACAGTTGTTCAGACTGCTACTTCAGTGTCTTATTTTGCAGAGAGAGTTTTTTTTTTCTATTAAACATCAGAGTCACTTTAACCACTAGCCTACAGGGCACTTATACCCCCTTCCTGCCCAGGCCAATTTGCAGCTTTCAGTGCTGTCACACTTTGAATGACAATTGCGCGGTCATGCAACACTGTACCTATATGAAATTTTTATAATTGTTTTTGTGACAGATAGAGCTTTATTTTGGTGGTATTTAATCACCTCTGGGATTTTTATTTTTTCTTAAACAAACCAAAAACCACTCAAAATTTTGAAAAAAAAAAAGTTTTTTCTCAGTTTTTGTTATAAAATTTTGTAAATAAGTGATTTTTCTCCTTCACTGATGTGTCTAATGAGGCTGCAGTGATGGGCACTGATAGGCTGCACTGATGGACACTGATAGGCTGGCACTGATGGGCACTGATGAGGAGGCACTGGTAGGTGGCACTGATGGGCATTGAAAGGCATTACTGATGGGCACTGAAAGGCAGCACTGTACATGGCACTGACATGTGACATCTGTTACAGTGCAGCACTGATAGGGGCACTGACTGGCACAGTTAGGCGGCACTTACTGGCACTGTTAGGCGACACTGATAGGAGGCACTCATGCGCACTGATAGGAGGCACTGACTGGCACTGATCGGTGGCACTGATAGGTGCACTGATTGGCATTGTTAGGTGCACTGACTGGCACTGATGGGTGACACTGAAAGGCAGCTCAGATGGCACTGATAGTGGCATTGATGTGCACTGGTAGGCACTGGCACTGATGGGCACTGTTAGGCACTGATGAGCACTGACTGCTGCACTGCTGGACACTGATAGGAGGCACTTCTGGGGCACTGAATCAGGGCACACTGATCATCAGTGCCCTGATGATCAGTGTACAGTCCCCTCCGCTGAAAGCCGATTACCGGCTCTCCTCTCCTCTCGAGCTGTCAGATGACAGCTCGAGAGGAGAGAAATGCCGATAACCGGCATTTCCCTGTTTACATGTGATCAGCTGTGATTGGACACAGCTGATCACATGACCGAGCCGCCATATTTAGCTCTTTCCGTGATCGGTGATCCGCTGTGTCCGAGGGACACAGCACACCGCCAATCGCCGCGCGCTGCGCGCTCCCTGAGCCGCGCATGCGCAGTGAGAATGGGAGGACATCGTATGACATCCTCCCAGAATGAGAGAACCACCTTGCGCCCGTCATATTACTATATGGCGGGCAGGAGGTGGTTAAAGCTTGATTCTGGGCAAAACAAAAATGCTCTTCCATCTCCTGATTGTTGGCCAAAAAAAAAAAAAGAAACTTTACTTACCTAAAGCAGCCATCACATAACGTTCAGGTCACCTCTTCTGTTTACATCTCATCCTTTTTTGGGTGCAACGTCAATGCTTGCGTGATATGAACAGTTGCTATTGGTGTTGGCAACTTTTAGCGGCGGTCCCCCTCACATCACTGCCAGTCCCCAGGGCATAAAAATATGCTTTGCACCTAAGGGAAACTGTTACTTTGTTTGTGTTTCTGATTATACCATAGTATGGGCTAGGAAGATGTGCGTGCAAGCAACACTAAGGCCCCATTCACACCTGAGTGTTTTGTAACACGAAGCTCCAAAATGCTTGAGGAGATAAAAGCAATTATTCTCAGTGGAGATGGTTCACATCTCCACTTCAAGTTGCCTGAAGCACAAACAAGTTCTGGAGCTTTTTTTGTAGCTCAAATTGGGCAGATTTACACGTTTTTGGTGTGTTTTTATTTCTATAGAGATGAATAGAATGACGCGATTGGCATAGTTTTACGTGCTGACGCGCGTTTTGTGCGATTTTCTGCTCAAATGAAAAAAATGTAAAAAACGAAAAAAAAAAGAAATAATATATGAATAAATGTAAAACAAATAAAATACACAAATAAATTAAAAAAAAACCTTGATAATTATTTCATTAATTAACCCCTAACCTTAACCTCCTAACCCTAAAAATACATTATTAATTATTATTATTATTATTATTATTATTATTATTATTAATAATAATCAGAAACACCCAAACAAAAACATACAATAATAATAATAAAAAACAATACACATTGTTTATTATTACTTTATGACTTCTTTTTAAGAGTTGGGGGGTTAAGGTTAGGAGTTATTTATTTATTATTACATAGTATTTATGTATGATTATTTTTATTTATTTGTGTATTTATTTTACATTTATTTATTCATTATTATTATCACCCTAACCCTACAAATAAATAAATAAATAAGGCGAAGATAATAAAATAAACCCTAACCCATTAATCCTAACCCTAACCTTAAAGTGGAGTTCCAGTGAAAATAAAAAAAAATAAATAGAAGTCAGCAGCTACAAAAACTGTAGCTGCTGACTTTTTAAAAAACCAACACTTACCTGTCCCTCGATCCTGCGTCCTGTGTCCCCCCCACAGCCCGTTTCACCGGCCGCCCTGTGTTCCTGATGCTGGCATCTTCAGTGTGGGCACCCGGCTGTGACAGCTTGTGGCTTCACAGGTGGGTGCCCAATGCACATGTGTACGTAGCACTGCGCTTTGTGAATGGTCCCGTAGTCTTCTGCGACATGTGTCCCAGAAGACTACGGGGAGAGAAGGGGAGAGGACAACTTCAGCTTTTGATCGCCGAGGCAATCGCAGTGGAAGTTGGAGCAGGTACCTGTCAATTTCAGATACCCGCTCCCCCCCACTTCCCAAAGGTGCCAATCCTTAACTGGGAGCGGGGGACCAGTCCTTAAAGCGGAACTTCCCCTTTTGGGTGGAGCTCTGCTTTAATTCTAACCCCTTACCCTAACAAAATAATGATGATTGAATAATAATAATAGTATAAAAAGAAATAAAAGCTGACAGATAAGTTACAAAAGCAGAAAAACCTACCAAGAAATGATGCAGCAGATGATCATTTTTTCAAAAATAGCTAAAAACCGCTTTATGAAAACATGCAAAAATCACAGTAAAATATGCACTGGAAAAACATGCAAAAACGATGTTCAGATGTGAATGAAGCCTAACAGCAAGTCATGCACAAAATTCGATTTTTGCCTGTTCTGTTAGTTATAGGTAAAGTATTGTATAACCCACTGTTGTGAGGGAAGCACTGTTTTTTATTCTTTTTTGCAATTACTTCATGTAAATGTAATAAAAATCATCTGAGGATTCTGTTTTATAATACCGTTTTTTACTTATGTGCCTTTTTCTTAAAGTATACTATACCTCATGGAGTGGTGCTGTTTTTGTTGCCTATCTCTCAATAAAAACATTTGTAAACAAAAAAAATCATCTTAAAAAAAAGTTTTGGCTACAGGTATACAGCAATTCCATGTAGCAAAATGCTTCAACAATGCTAAAAACAGAAGGCTCATTTATTATATGTTTATCCCTGTGATTCCTTGCAGTCAAGTTTCATAGAGCCAATTACAAGGTTGATGGGAATGCATATCCTCCAAAATGCACTACATTATTTCTTTTCTTTCTGATTGCCAATTCACATCTGCCTTTCAAGGCAGGTCTGTAATTTGTATTTATAATTTTGCTTTAGGCTTTTTTGTATGCGAGAGACAGCAAGTAGACTGCAGTGGGTGTGTTTGGAAACAGCTCTACAGGCAGGGGTGGTGTA